AAAAGGATCAGATCTGCCTCTGAAACAGGGATTAAACTTTTGTATTGATTGACACTGTTAAAAATTATAGAGGTTATCATAATGTATTGATTAACAGCAGCACTTTTTTTCCTTCTATAAAATGTGCATTAAGCAGTGACCAATTTATTAAAGGCATCTTCCCCAAAGGAAAACTAATATCTGTAAAATCATGTTGATTTCTACTTAAATTAAATTAAAAAGTTTTATATCCCTTTTACAATAATTAAATGTCATCCCCCAATTTCATCATTCATGTGCCCCTTCTCCTACCTGTGAAAAAAAAAAATCACTGAAAATCAGAAGTTTCATCACAGAACTATTGAAATCACGGCTTAATTTACAAATATTTATCGGCGGCACGAAATACCCAAATATACCCAAATATTGCCCAAATATACCCAAATATAGCAATATTTATTTTTGTTTGTATAAAATATAGATAATAATGAGAAATAAATAAATATTTATAAAATAATATGACTTAGCCTGCTATAACTTTAATTCATTCCGTTGAAATGGGCAGTTAAGATGTTGTAAGAAAATAAAGTTGTACGTGACATTTGCTTATCTACAATATAGGTTCTTTATACTTTGTACTTGCAAATTTAATTCAAGATATGATATTTGTTGTCCACACTTACATTTTAAGGTGTAATTTTGTTGAAATTTCATATCATACAGAAGAAGAATGTCCATGTTATTAAAAAAATAGCTTTAATAAAGTACATATACTGTATTTTGGTTCAAAACACAATAATAAGAAAATGTATATTTGGGTACAAATGATTATATCTTAGTGAAAGTGTATATTGTATTCATGATTAAAACAGCACTTTTTTAGTATAAAACATTTATTTTTAGTATAAATGGGCAATATTTGGGTATATTTAGGCAATATTTGGGTATATTTGGGCAATATTTGGGTGTATTTGGGTATATTTGGGTATTTCGTGCTGCCCATATTTATCTGTTATTGTAATTTTTATATTCAATATTTCATTTTATAGATTTTGACACTTTCAAGCTTAAATCTGTTTTGATTTTATAAAAGGGAAATTACAAAAAAAATATTAAAACATTTATGATCAAATAAAAACTGGCAAAAACTATAAAAAGAAAACAATTATAAAAACAAAATTTTTAACCTTTAATTTAAACATTTCACATAAAAGAGAAAAAGATCTAAACAGTTTTGAGAGGTAGCAAGTTTCTTGTTATCATCAAAAATGTTTACTTCACATAAACACTTTCATAGAGATAGTTATCATCAAGTAACAGGTGGTTCATCAAATCAGAAAGTGGGTGGGGTTGTCAAAATTTACCTGTAATGACGTTTCTTTCATCTGCAAAGCTACTGTCTCACGAATTTTCGCGGCATCACCACGTCTGTGGAGAGCCTGGGTGAATTTCCTATCACCCATTGTCTTAAAAAGCGATTATCTGCTAATTGGTAATCCCTAGGACAAGGAAGTTGACGTTTTCCACCATGTTGATGAAATTTATTGTGCAAGGGAGACTACTCGAGATGCCCAAATCTAAAGATGGCTGCATTGTTAAAGAAGCGGGCTCTAGCCGAGTATAGTCAGGTCATCCAGGTATAAGATTTAGCCAGATTCTTCTTTTAACTGTAATAACATCTTTTCAAAATTGATTATTTATCCTGAAATGGCCACTTTGCTTCTTAAATAACGGAGAAAATCACATTCGTACTCAAAGTACGAAATGTTCAGATTAGCCCCCTGAAAGTTCGTACCCAATGTGAAAAGAAAATCAAGTGCACGTTCTTCTTCCAGTTTATTTTTTAGTTCTAGAATATTAATGATTGAATATATCGGATTTGTTTATAGATAATATTGTTATCATGATTTGATACATAACAGTTATAGCATATTCTAAATGTTTTATCTGTTTGGGTTATTATTGTCCCGTGTTATAACTTATAGTTGTAGGCACATGCAGGTTTCTTTTAGTGTAATAGGCAGTACCCATCCATTCAAAATTAAAGAACACATTGATTAAAGCAACTACTGGATGCTACGCTAGCTAGTGAATGGTAGTGAAGTGTCAATTAGAAATTATGGCCCCTGAGATTTCACACACAAAAAATTACCGTCTTAAAACAATTCCTTTTTTCCAACCCCCCCCCCTTCCTTACTAATATTTTTGAAGCTTGGGTTTCAGAAATGAGAATACAAGTTGTGTCAGTCTGCTAGACTTTAGACATAATGTTGTTGTTCAGAGCTTGGTTTATCTTCTTTTGGTTCTATCTATCATAGTTCAGATTATATTGATTTATGCTTTTGAAGATGAAGCTGCTCTGATAGTGTGTGGACCATATATCTGTATGTTTATTCCTGACCTAACCATAACTGTCTCTTTATCCAACGAAGAAATTGTGTCCTTACTCACAGCATTATGTGTTTTTTTTTAATAACTTATCAACAACTTGGTTTCAGTTTTCTTCCTCGAAACTGTCTGGTACGTTTTAAATATTCTGTTTTAACACAAAATATGTACACAAACGCCTATCTGGCGGATATGCAGAAAAATTTACAACAGACAACAATTATATATTGGCCTCTCTGCTTGACAAGCCCATCAACATAAACAAATAAATTCGATCTTTAACTTCTGTATAACTTACCTTTCACAGTTAATAAATGAAGTGTTTGTACTCTAGTTGCAATCGTTAAGACCCATCAGCATTACTAATTTCAAGTGTTAATCCTTTAAAGTTAACTGACTAACTGTGAGACAAAGTCCTTAAATATATCAAGGACTTTATTCACATCCCATATTTCGGAATACTTTGGTTCATAGGTCTCAAATTAAAAAATTCCACGTAAAACACACCACTACAGGATGGTTCCCAATAGAAATATTTTCCCATTTTACTCCTAGAGATGATTAAGTAACAAAATTATGTGACTGAAAGTGAAAGTAGAGACTAGAGACAAAATATTTTGAAACGTTTCCCTCTCCTTGCCCTTTCTCCCAGTCATGGCAAATCTCTTGTGATGCACTGGAAAGTATACATCACATTTACACTGTACAGTATTACTGTAGACATAAACTGTATTTTAGAATCTTGTAGTGTTTGACAATTGGACTAAAATAACTATTGATTGTATCATAGTTTGGGGACCTTTCTGTTGAAAATGTGTACATATACATGTACAGTGCGTTAACTGGAGTGCAGGTATTAGTTACCAGCACTCCAGAGCATGCCCATTGATTGACTCATTTTTGCTGGGGTTTACTTATTGTGACGGAAGAGAAAGGGAAAGCGACAGAAAATCATATTCAGATGCTCGTTCATTGGTTACTTTTTCCCAGGGTTTCATATTGTGACAACAGGGAACGTGTTTTTATGTTTGACTATGATACAAAAGAGAAAGAACAAAAAAACACTCGGCAATCTGATTAATACTAGGGGGCTACGCCCTCTCGTACAAATCAGATAGCCTTGTGTTTCGATGCTCTTTCTATTACTTATCGAATCTAAAGGATATTATCAATAATAACATTCAAGTATTCAAGATTTCACAGGAAAGTGCCTATCACTTTAAAAACAAAGTTAATAGCCATAGTTAAAACTTTTGATTTAATATCCTGTAATTTTGCGTAATTATTCTTTGTATAGTAATCAAAGAAATTTACTGTATTTTCTTCAGGAAGAGGCGCCTAAGCCCATCAAAAAGTTGCGTCTAGTTCAAAGACCAATTGAACCAGAAATACAACTAAATCTTCAAGGTAATTTTTTTTGTGTTGCCTTGAAAAAGGCGACATATAGGGGTTACTTTTGTTGTCGGCGGCGTCCCCTTAAGCTTGTCCAGAGCATAAGTCAGTCATTATAAGTCGGATTGACTTCAAACTTGGTATGCATGCTTCTTATAATGACTCAAAGTGCATTGCACAAGAACCGGTACTCTACACTTCTTATTTTTGAGTTATTACCCTTTATTAATTTTCGTACTTTATTTTTGATTCAGGCAATTTCTCCAGAATTATAAAAAGCTAGAGACTTAAAACTTCATAGATATGGATGATATCTCTAGATCTTATTGATAAGAAGTGCAGTGCACAGAAACTGCTGCTCTGGACTTCTTCTTTTTTTATATTAGTTATTGCCCTTTGTTAATTTTCATATTTCATTTTTGTCCTGGCCATTTCCCCTAAACGTATATTGCTCACCAAGGGGACACATCCGACTTGCGGGGAGGTTCTAGTTAGTAGATTGGTTTTTCAGTATTTAAAAAAAACATCAGATAGGAACTTAAAGTCTTAAACAGTTCATGACACAGTTTACTGATGTACATGTTGGATCAAATTAAACATTTTTTCTACAATTGATCAGTAATCTTAAAATCAAATTTAATATATATCTTCGGGATGGAAATTAATATTTATATTCCACTGACATGAACATGTTTAGGGGTGGAGAGTGCAACAGTTTGATTTTTAGAATATTTACTCAGTAGCATATATTTAACAGATGATTTATAATATAATCTTTTTACATTTCCTTAGGTCTTTTTCCCACGATTGCAACTTCAAGTTTTCTGCTGAAGCTTTGAAGAGAAGTTTACCAGTAAACAAGTGCAAGCCCTTGGCCCTGTATTCGAGCTTGGCCTGGAACATTGATTGGCACGAGAAAAAGCAGCGCAGTTGTACGTCGGTAGAAGCCTGTCTGCTAGTCGATTTCCGAAAATTCCTGAATAAGTGCTTGAAATCTAGCAAGAACGGTTGTTGACACTCTCAGTAAAGAGGTAACATGCTTGCATGTTAGAAAGAGACCAGAAAAAAACAATACAACGTCTTCACATATACATAGAAAAAATGTTTGAGGAATCTTGTTTTCTAAACATTTATAAAGTCAAATAGATAAATTTTTCAAATCATTTGATATTGTGACTGTTTAAAAATTTTATTTGTTATTAACATTTAATTCACAATTTCGTAAATCTTATATAAATGTTATGTTTAATACCTCAGAATCCCAGAAAGCTAAAAGTCAGCTGATATCAAGCTTGTCTGTGATTGGTCAGTCAGCTGCCTCATTGAAAGAACTTCACAAACAACTTGTTGACACTGCTATACAGGTAGCATTTTTATTACAAACTTTTGTCATCTTTTATATTTATTCAATTATGATTGGGAACCTGTATATACATGTATATCTTGTGTACAGAAATTATCAATATTAACAAATTTTTAAGATATTTTCTTGAAACTTCACACGTATCTTAGGTATCAAAATTTCAGATCACTGTTTCAGACCCGTAGATTGAGCATGGGTTTTTACTGTATTTTTTCTGCCCTATCTAAAGATAAATGATTTCTGTTTGGAGTATTGTGTCATCCTCCACAGCTACTTAAGGAAGTCACTTGAAATTCCACACATTCCCTTTGGGCCTGAATTGAACATCTCTATCCAAGACTGTCAAATTTTTGTGTGTTTTGATCTTAATAATGTAGCATACATGTATGTGAAGAAATTTGAATAAAGGTAAAATAGCAAGTTGTATCTTAGAGTAAAGATTTTTATCACATACATGTACTTGAGTTGGATTTCATGTTTATTGTAGAATTTGACCAGTGACAGTCACCATATTAGAAGCAGCTGCCTTAGTTTGATTGGCCATTTAGAGTCACATGATCTACCAAAGGGAGATAACAAAGATGATGATGTCACAGATGTACAAAAACTGTTGGAAAAGTTTTTTCAGGATCAGGACTCCAGAGTAAGATCAAGTGCCTTTGAGGCTTTGGTAAGTTAATGTTAGTGTGGAGCAACAGTCATAATTGTGTGTTTAGAGTCAATGACTTTCCATTTAATGCCCTCAGTCATTGTTAAAGATGAAATCTCACCAAAAAGTTTATAAAAGGAAATTAATTTGGGTAATTTGAAAATGTTCTTTGTTTTACATTGTTCTGTTTGGAAGCGTGAAGAGAAAAGTTGCACCATATAATTTATTAATGTAGAGATCACTTGGATTCAAACAACAAAAATTTAAAGTGAATTTGTTATGTTAGGATGAAGGTGTAGACAGGAAAGATATACACATTGATAATAAACAATGTTAATTTTGTCATTATTAATACAATTTGTGACTTGTTCTGATGTAAAGATCTCTTTTGTAAATGTTAGTGGCAGTGTGGCTGAGCGGTTCATGCATCTAACTAGTAATCTTAGGATTGCTTGCGGTGTGGGTTTAAACCCCGTCGGGGGCAAGCTGTTGTGTCCATAAGCAAACAACTTAACTCAGATTGCTTAGTACTGGTTGTTCTCTGGAATGCTTATAGCTTTAAACACAATCAAACTAAAATACATACAGTGTAATGTAAAATGTTCAACTTTCAGTTAACATTTCATGAGAGGGGTGTGAAATTAGACGAGAGTTTATACAAGGCAGCATGGGAAGCCCTTAATGATGATTATGAAGGTGTTAGATTGGCAGCAATACAAGTAGTCTGGGTCCTAAGTCACTTATATCCTGAAAGGTAGGTGTGAAAAAAATTCCTTTCTATGAAAGCTTCATTTTAAGTGCATATGATATTAACAAGTTAATTTTTCAAGTTTAAGGCACACATATTCAAGTTAGATTATCTAATGCTGGAATTAATAGATCTGATGTAAGAAAAAAAAAATCGAACACTTTCTGCCGGTACGGATACATGTAGGATAGCTAGAAAGTTGCCATATAACCTTTGTTGTTTTTGATGGGATGTAAAACCAAAGTCCAATGAGTAAAAAATTATTCTGCTCAGAATTTTCAGAAAATTAATCAAACTGGCTTGGAATGATCCTGAACAATCTTAAAATGACTTGATTTAAATTGTATATGAAAACTGTGTTAGTAGGGAATACATGTTCAACAAATATGTTTGTTTATTTCAGCGTTGTTCCTGTACCTAACTCTGATGAAGAGTTACGACTTGTTGATGACGGTTTTGTTAAAATATGTAACATGATCAATGATATATCAGTCAAAGTACGAACTAAAGCGGCCAGTCTACTGGTAAGTTACTTAAATACATTTATCACACAGCACAGTAGTTTATTAAAGCCATTTGATTAAAAAAAAAATACAGTGCAACTTCTGAAAACCGAACATACAGTATAAGTAGAGCATACCCTGACAGGTATTTAAGGCAACTTTAGCAAAATTTGTGGGAAGGTTATACATTTAAATGCCCATTATTCCTTAAAAAATGCTATAATTTTTATTTTTCAAAAGCACTAAATTTTTTATGTTCTGTTACAGTTTAAAATATAGCCATATCAGAGCTTGGCAATAAGTACAGTTATAGTGTATTAGTATTTTGTATGGAAGTCAAAATACTACAGTGTTTACATTTCACTACTCTTATCAGAAATGTGTTCACATTTAACACTATTTTCTTTAGATGATAAGAATTTCACATGTTCTTAATCTATTACTACAATATTTAAAAAAAACATGTTTGCCCTTTTCCAAGTAAGAAAAAATAATTTGTTTGTGAGGCATAATGTCTTTTTAACATACTTTGAACATATGTTTATACAAGTAAAGCAGAACAATTTCAAGACATGATAACAGATAATAAATAAAAATGTTTTGTGGATAATAGATTTTTCATAATTTGTGGCATCAATTTCTTGCAATTATTTACTCTTTCTTTTGCAATAATTGACTTTCATTAAGCTATATGTATATCCCAATTTCAGGGCTCCTTACATCTGGTGAGTACAAGGTTCCTGGAACAAACTTTAGACAAAAAGCTCATGTCAAATATGAGGGTAAGTTTAACTTTATATCATATATACATTGTATGGGGCTTCTGTGGCCGAGTGGTTAGGGTCATTGACTTCAAATCACCCTTTGCCCCACACTGCTGTGTGGATTTAAATTAAAATTATCTTCCTGTTGGGGTTGAGGGGAGGTACAACTGTTTTGAATAAAAGTAAAGTTATTCTGGAGTGGCCTCCCTCTCTCATGTAATTCTTACCTCTTTGATCAGATACCCCTTTTGTTTACAAAAACGATTATAACTCCCGAAAAAGGAAACATTCATTATCCTCCTCAGAAATGAAAAAGGTAGGTAGCACCTGATTTTAAAGACTTTATCTAAATTTTATCAATGTCTATCTAGATAACTACAGATAAAACCTCTTAAAAGTGTGTCAAGGAATTGATTTGTTGGATAAATATTTTGGGGAATCACAGTCCCACTCAGAGATGATTTTTTGTGTCGCCTCTACGGAGTAGTGGCGACATATAGGGATCACTTCTCCGTCGTCTGTCCGTCCGTCCGTCACAAAACTTGTCCGGACTACTCCTCATAAACTACTGGTGCAATTTCATCCAAACTTTACAGAAATGATCAGTACCAAGTCTAGTTGTGCATATTGTCAGCATTTTCCGGTTCAATGATTTTTGTCAGAGTTCTGGCCCTTTAATAATTTTTAATTTTAAAGTTTGTCCGGACTACTTCTCATATACCACTAATGCATTTTCAATGAAACTTTACAGGATTGATCTGAAGCTCAAGTCCTTGCGGATATTGCATGGGTTTTCCGGTTGAATGATTTTTGGCCGAGTTATGGTCCTTTGATAAAAAGGTGTTTTTTTCTGTGTGTTGTCAGATACACAAAAGCTTGTCCGGACTACTCCTCATAAACTACTGGTGCAATTTCATCCAAACTTTACAGGAATGATCAGTACCAAGTCTAGTTGTGCATATTGACAGCATTTTCCAGTTCAATGATTTTTGTCAGAGTTATGGCCCTTTAATAATTTTTATTTTTAAAGTTTGTCTGGACTACTTCTCTTATACCACTAATGCAATTTCAATGAAACTTTACAGGATTGATCTGTAGCTCAAGTCCTTGCGCATATTGCACGGGTTTTCTGGTTGAATGATTTTTGGCCGAGTTATGGCCCTTTGATAAAAAGGTGTTTTTTTCTGTGTGTTGCCAGATACACAAAAGCTTTCCGGACTACTCCTCATAAACTACTGGTGCAATTTTATCCAAACTTTACAGGAATGATCAGTACCAAGTCTAGTTGTGCACTGTCTATCTGTCTGTCTGTCTGTCTGTCACAAAATTTGTCCCAACATGAAATTGGCCATCATGAGGCGACACATGTGATTACTAATCGCTCTTGTTTTATGTATTAATATGTTCTTTTTTCTTAAGAGTAAAGTACATGTAAATGTATTGCTGTATAACACAACCTTGAGTTCAAATACTTAGACATTTCATAAAAGTGTTCATGATGTTTCATTATTTATTGATCAATTAATAGAAACAATCATCATTTATAATTCGCCTTTGATATGAAAAGGTAGGTAGCACCTATATTGTAAAAAATTTATATTTTGAATTTTATCATTATCCATACAGAGAAAGAAGACAGCATCAGAAAGGGCGAAGGACAATTATTCCTCTGGTGTATGGTCAACAGGACAGAAGTGGGCAGATGATGCCCCTAAAGAAGAACTGGATCCTGAGAGTATTAATTTAATGAATATAGGGGCCTGTGGGGCATTTGTTCACGGTCTGGAAGATGAATTCTCAGGTATGAATTTCTATATTGATATACATGTAGTATGTAAAATCCTTGTTTTATCAATATCTAAAGAGGAATAATTTCATAAAACACTTTGTCTTTCATTCTTATCCTATTTTGTAAGAATAATTGACATGCTTTTTGTCTATTGTAAATTATAATGTGTATATATATTCTGAGAAATAAAATATGTTTAAACTAATAAATTTTTTCGGCAGGAATAAGAGTAAGTTTGTTAGACTTGGTATTGACATTGCCCTTGGCCAGCAGATACTCCCTTTTGTCACAGTGACAGTTTAAAATTCCTGTTTGGTCAATAGCTTGTTCCATAGATTTGAAGAAAATATTAGTTAAGATCTTATTTCATGGCAAAAGAGCACATATCAATGCATTATTGACTTGCTTTCAATGTCCCTCATGCAAAGCCTGAAAGGTATCAAAAATTTTATGGTTTGTCTGATTTTGTGACATCAGACCCGACGTCGATAGATAAAGATAAATCAGATAAACATGTTTTATAACAAATGTCTCCTATATACATGTTTTTTTTGAGTTTGTTTTTTTTTACATAATTTGATGACATAAATTGTTTCACGTGTAAAAAAAAATTTAATTCTTGTGAATTTTAGAGGTGAGAAATTGTACTCTGGATTCGATATGCGAGTTGGCCTCACAGAACCCGGGGTTTGCGCTGTTATGTCAGGACAGTATTGCGGACATGTTTAACGACGAGATAGAGAGCGTACGACTTAATGCCATCAACAGTCTGAAAAAGCTGAGTCAACATTTAGAACTACGGGAAGATCAGCTCGATATTATGTTAGGTGTTCTACAGGTAATTTTACACAAAAAATACGGGAAGATCAGCTCGATATTATGTTAGGTGTTCTACAGGTAATTTTACACAAAAAATACGGGAAGATCAGCTCGATATTATGTTAGGTGTTCTACAGGTAATTTTACACAAAAAATACGGGAAGATCAGCTCGATATTATGTTAGGTGTTCTACAGGTAATTTTACACAAAAAATACGGGAAGATCAGCTCGATATTATGTTAGGTGTTCTACAGGTAATTTTACATATAAAATACGGGAAGATCAGCTCGATATAATGTTAGGTGTTCTACAGGTAATTTTACACAAAAAATACGGGAAGATCAGCTCGATATAATGTTAGGTGTTCTACAGGTAATTTTACACAAAAAATACGGGAAGATCAGCTCGATATTATGTTAGGTGTTCTACAGGTAATTTTACACAAAAAATACGGGAAGATCAGCTCGATATAATGTTAGGTGTTCTACAGGTAATTTTACACAAAAAATACGGGAAGATCAGCTCGATATTATGTTAGGTGTTCTACAGGTAATTTTACACAAAAAATATGGGAAGATCAGCTCGATATAATGTTAGGTGTTCTACAGGTAATTTTACACAAAATATTATGATTAAATGATATTATGCTGTTGGGTTTTATTAAAACAGCACACCTCTTGATTCAATGTTCATATTGCAAAAAGCACTAACAACCCATGTAAATTACCAAAAATAGATCAAAATTTGCATAAATAGCCCTTAATGCATTAGTAATGCAGTAGAAATTTGGTGAAGAAAAACTGCTAAATCGGTCATAAATCGCACATAAAATGGACACTTTTACTTTTATTTTGAACCTTTTTACTTTTGTTAAAATCTCAGTACTTTATTATAAAGTTTGATTTTCTTGAAATATTTTGGTTCATCTGGAGGCGGCAGCTTTAAATATATAAATAAAGTATTTTACTTTATGTGATGCAGTGGCTGACCTGAGCTCTGGTAAATTCAATGTGGCCTACCTGCCATGATTCGGAGAGAAAACTACAAACACGACCACCATATATGAATCAAAGTTATGTTATAGTATGTGATATCTGTACTTGTTTCCATTGACAGGACTTTTCCTATGTGTCAAGAGAATCTCTGAGAGACATGTTATGTGAGATGAAGTTTGCCACTAAAGAATGTCTCAATACTTGTGTTGTAGCACTGCTTGATAACCTGAGAAGGTATCCTGAGGACAGGCTGAATATTTGGAAGTATGCTTGTCTTCAGTTTTATATATTTGAGGATGTAATATATATATGAGCCGTGTCATGACAAAACCAACATTATGGGTTTGCGACCAGCAAGGATCCAGACCAGCCTGCACATAAGCGCAGTCTGATCAGGATCCATGCTGTTCGCTATCAGTTTCTCTACTTGTAATAGGGTTGGTAAGCGAACAGCATGGATCCTGATCAGACTGCGCGGATGCGCAGGCTGGTCTGGATCCATGCTGTTCGCAAACCCATTATGTTGGTTTTGTCGTGACACGGCTCAATTATAAGAAATAAAGTTTGTATGTAAACATGGTATAAAACCTTAGCTTGTAATGTATATAAGAAATTAAATAATGTATGTAGCAATGTAATAATCTAAAAAGAAAGAAATGTGTCTTACCATAGTATAACATGGATTCATATTGCATAGATGAGAGTGGTAAATAAATCACAAGGCTTTACAGTCAGCTTGATATTTAATTGAACCATCTGGTTAGCTCAAAAGGTAGAGCATTGGACTTTGAATCAGGCAACCTGGGTTCTATTCCTGAACAGTGTAGGTATTGGTCATGAAATCTTTTTTACGGAAATTCACAATATACCTCTGCTCTGGCATGAACAAAGTATATCTACCTAGGAATAATACAATGACTGAATTGTCCTCTGGTAAATTCAACTTGGCTTTCAGTTGTGGTCAGATGGGTTAACTACTAACACCACCACCATCATGATAGTTCTAAAATGTGTATTTTGTAATGATGAAAATGATTGATAAAAATGATATATTTGACAGATGTATGAAGTTTCTGGGAAAGAATTGTGCTAACCTTGCGTTACCACTGATGCCCGAGTTTCTATGTCTTCACCCGTACTTTGATACCCCAGAACCTGAGATGGACGATCCTGCTTGTATCCTTGACAAACTTGCAGATAAATTACTTGATTTAACAAAGTTCAACCCTTTTTTAATGTCCACAGATATGTTTTTACTTATCATGGAAGTGTTAGTGTCGAGTCTTGTTAAAATGTAAAGCAAATACAGTAATATAACTGGTAATTGTTAGTAGTAGATATAATAGAAATTATAGTTAGGATCTGAACATAAACATGTAGATACAGTATTGATTACTTGCTATCGCTTAATTTGTGGATAATCACTTAATTAATTTATAAGCAAAAGAAACTAATTTATCTTCCATAACATATATTTAGATATCAGTATATTAGTTCTAGTATTTAATGCCGCTGCAGGAAATCGTACAGCTTTACCAATGTTTCAGGAACATACCTGGAGACATTTTACCTACTTGAGAGACAGTATACCAGAACTGGTGCCAGACTTAAAGGTACAAACAATGTATACAAGTGTGTTAGAGGGAGGGTGGGTGTATCTATGAATTGTGAAAGGGACATCAGTGACGAAGTGGTTAAGGTTGTTGACTTAAAACCATTTGCCCCTCACAGTTGTAGGTTTGAATCCTGACAGGAAATTTGGATTTGTTCATGTGAGGAAGCTATCTAGCTAGTTTCTGGAATTATGGTTGTTGTACACAGGTGCCTGCTTGTGCCTGAAATAATGCACAGGAAGGGCATCTGAGGTCTGTCTCCACCTATAAAGCTGGAAAGTTGCCATGTGACCTCCATTATGTTGATGCTACATAAAAAAAACATATTTCAAAAGAAGCACCTGTTATTTTATTTTACTGGAAATATTGCTTTTTGAGAACAAATAACAATTTAGTAAGATATTTGGTAAGTGGCTATGTCAGGTGGATCTTATAAAATGATATATCTGAGGTCAAAATTAGCCTTGCACATGCAAACTTTTTATTCATATCTCCATTTACACAGATAAGTATCGTGATTGTTCAGATTTATTTCATATCTTAGGTCAAAAATGGCCATGACCACTTTTTAGCTCGACTTTTCTATGAAAAGGGGAGCTATCCTACTCGCCCCGGCGTCGGCGTCGGCGTCACACCTTGGTTAAGTTTTTCGTACCACCCCACTTTATTTCAGAAGTATTACAAGTATGGCTTTGAAACTTACCATACTTGTTCACCATCATAACCTCCATCTACAGACAAGAGTACATAACTCTGTCAAGGTTTTTGACAGAATTATGGCCCTTTTTTGACTTAGAAAGTGTATTGAGCTTGGTTAAGTTTTTTGTACCACCTCACTTTATTTCAAAACCATTGGAGGTATTGCTTTGAAACTGACCATACTTGTTTACCATCACGACCTTCATCAACAGACAAGAGGGACATAACTCTGTCAAGGTTTTTGACAGAATTATGCCCTTTTTGACTTAGAAAATACATTGAATATGGGTAAAATCCACTTATTGCCTTAACCCTTTGAGATATTGCTTTGAAACTTTTAATGCTATTTCACATCATTACCCCCATCTGTACGCAAGAGAAGGTAACTCTGTCAAGGATTTGTTTTAAAAATTAAGGCCTTTTATCGACTTAGAATCTTGGTTAAGTTTTTAGTACCAGTCCACTTTTTGACTGAACTGTTTGAGATATTAATTTGAAAGTTGGAATACTTGTTTACAATCATGATTCCCAAACATGTCCAGGAGAAGGTAATTCTGTCAAAGATTTTATTTGAATTATGGCCATTGTTCACTTTAAAAATACAGAGATTCTTGTATTGCCTTTTACTGCAAAAACTTTTTTTATTGGCAAGCAATAAAAAAGTCGAGCGCGCTGTCTTACGGACAGCTCTTGTTATTCATATTTCCATTTACTCAAATTATAAGTAACATTACTGTTCAAGTTTATTTCATATATCATGATTTTGTCATTTATTTTTCTTTAGCATTTCAAAAAAAAGTGAAAAAATATTTAATGCAGTTGAAATAAATGAAAAATGTGTCTTTAAGCAGTACATAGGACTGGTATAAATCTATAGAACTCTGCTATAAACAAAAAATTAATAGAGCATTCTCCACTTACCATATTGGTTAACAAATGATACTTTCAATAAGACTGTAGAAGCGTTTCTGTTTCAAAAGTTAAAACAGAATAACAGAATAAATTTCATGAAACTTCTTTTCAGACTGATGATTCTAAAGAAGTTCTTGTGGAAAATATGGCACAGGTGGAAAAATCTCACGAGGCTGCCACATTTATAAAATGTACGGTGGAGAAGTTGTCTGATCTCCGCTCACTTGATACAATAACTGCTAAACAACTTCTAGAAACTGCTGTCAGGTTTGCACTTATAGTTAATAATTGAGCTGTGTCACGACAAAACCAACATAAGTGCGTTTGCGACCAACATGGATCTAGACCAGCCTGCGCATCCGCGCAGTCTGATCAGGATCCATGCTGTTCGCTTTCAGTTTCTCTACTTGTTATAAGGTTTGTAAGAGAACAGCATGGATCCTGATCAGACTGCATGGATGCACAGGCTGGTCTGGATCCATGTTGGTCGCAAACCCATGATGTTGGTTTTGTCGTGACACAGCTCATAAAACTGAACAGTATGGGGCATACATTGATTTCATACTTATTTATTTCTGCATAGCAAAAATTGCATATTGTTTAAATTATGTTAACTTATTTGCATTTTTTATGTAAATTCATGGCATATATTTTGAGAGCTAGATTTTATCACATTTTTGACATTTATTTGTTATAGGGATCTACAAAGAGTTATAGAATTAGACATGAACACATCAGCATCAGCAGAATGTATATGTTTGTTTCTACAGAGTCAACTTCTTATAACACAGGTAGATATGACCTCTTTGATTTCATCCTTCTTTTTGATCATTTTTTTTTATTTCAACTATTTGAAGAACAGGGACTGGTATTGTATTCACACAGCATCAACATCAAGCTTTGGTCAACTTTTTGTGTGCAAGTTGGTACCTATAAAACTACTTAACAGAATAGGTTGAAACCTCACACACTTATTTGAGAGCATAAATGGTTGTCAATGTCCAAGGCCTATAACTCTAACTTAGATTTTGACATAATTATTGGCCGTTTAAAACTTGGAACATTCTACATTTTCTAGGCTCTTGTTTTACTATGGAAAATTGAGAATAGTTGAGCACACTGTCCTACTGACTGTTCTTGTTGTTTTCTTTTACCCTATAATGTTATCTGAATAATAAAAGTAATTTAAGCTAGAAGTCTTGTTGATTTTTTGTGTATATATCTAAGGGCATCCATGGCAAAGGGGTTAAGGTTGTTGACTTCAAACCACTTGCCCCTCATCACTCTGGCTTTGAATCCCGTCAGGGACTTTAGATTCTTTAATGTGTGGAAGCTCTCCAGCTAGCTTATAGAACGTTGATGGTTTTACTCAGTGGCCATTTGCTCCTAAAATTATGCACAAGTGGGCACCTGAGGTCTTTCTCCGTCAGAAAAGCTTGAAAGTGGCCAAATGACTTTTGCAGTGTTAGTGTTACTTAAAATCCATTAAAACAATTGTTTTAACAAACAAACACACAAGTTTGTTGATATATATATGTCATGCATACAACTGGTACATGTTAAAACTGAATCTATGACAAGTGCATTGTCTTTTGTATTTTCTTTTGCAAGGGAGGTTTTCAAATAAAAAATCCAAAATAAAAATTCCAAAGTAAAAAAAAAAAATTTAAAACTTTAGGACTTGACAGTTTGAATAGGAGTTTTTTTACTTTGACAAATGTTTAATCAAAAAGTAGATTCATATTGTTGTGTCGCCACTTCTCCGTCGTCTGTCTGTCCGTCTGTCCGTCACAAAACTTGTCCGGACTACTCCTCATAAACTGCTTGTGCAATTTCATCCAAACTTTACAGAAATGATCAGTACCAAGTCTAGTTGTGCATATTGTCAGCATTTTCCGGTTCAATGATTTTTGGCAGAGTTATGGCCCTTTAATAATTTTTAATTTTAAAGTTTGTCCGGACTACTTCTCTTATACCACTAAAGCAATTTCAATGAAACTTTAAAGGATTGATCTGTAGCTCAAGTCCTTGCGCATATTGCAAGGGTTTTCCGGTTGAATGATTTTTGGCCGAGTTATGGCCCTTTGATAAAAAAGGTGTATTTTTCTGTGTGTTGCCAGATACACAAAAGCTTGTCCGGACTACTCCTCATAAACTACTGGTGCAATTTCATCTAAACTTTACAGGAATGATCAGTACCAAGGGTAGTTGTGCATATTATCAGCATTTTCCAGTTCAAAGATTTTTGTCAGAGTTATGGCCCTTTAATAATTTTTAGCTCGACTTTTCTATGAAAAGGGGAGCTATCCTACTCGCCCCGGCGTCGGCGTCGGCGTCACACCTTGGTTAAGTTTTTCGTACCACCCCACTTTATTTCAGAAGTATTACAAGTATGGCTTTGAAACTTACCATACTTGTTCACCATCATAACCTCCATCTACAGACAAGAGTACATAACTCTGTCAAGGTTTTTGACAGAATTATGGCCCTTTTTTGACTTAGAAAGTGTATTGAGCTTGGTTAAGTTTTTTGTACCACCTCACTTTATTTCAAAACCATTGGAGGTATTGCTTTGAAACTGACCATACTTGTTTACCATCACGACCTTCATCAACAGACAAGAGGACATAACTCTGTCAAGGTTTTTTGACAGAATTATGCCCCTTTTTGACTTAGAAAATACATTGAATATGGGTAAAATCCACTTATTGCCTTAACCCTTTGAGATATTGCTTTGAAACTTTTAATGCTATTTCACATCATTACCCCCATCTGTACGCAAGAGAAGGTAACTCTGTCAAGGATTTGTTTTAAAAATTAAGGCCTTTTATCGACTTAGAATCTTGGTTAAGTTTTTAGTACCAGTCCACTTTTTGACTGAACTGTTTGAGATATTAATTTGAAAGTTGGAATACTTGTTTACAATCATGATTCCCAAACATGTCCAGGAGAAGGTAATTCTGTCAAAGATTTTATTTGAATTATGGCCCTTAACTGTCAATGTTTTGTATTATAGGCAAGCAATAAAAAAGTCGAGCGCGCTGTCTTACGGACAGCTCTTGTTATTTTTAAAGTTTGTCCGGACTACTTCTCTTATACCACTAAAGCAATTTCAATGAAACTTTACAGGATTGATCTGTAGCTCAAGTCCTTGCGCATATTGCACGGGTTTTCCGGTTGAATGATTTTTGGCCGAGTTAAGGCACTTTGATAAAAAGGTGTTTTTTCTGTGTGTTGCCAGATACGCGAAAGCTTGTCCGGACTACTCCTCATAAACTACTGGTGCAATTTTATCCAAACTTTACAGGAATGATCGGTACCAAGTCTAGTTGTGCACTGTCTGTCCGTCTGTCACAATTTTTGTCCCAACATGAAATTGGCCATCATGAGGCGACACATGTGATTACTGATCGCTCTTGTATTAACAATGAATACTTATATATAACCCATATGTTTGTATCATTCTGCTAATATGAAGCTCATAGAGAATTTTTTTCCTGCAGTTGATGTCCCAGCATGCCTACATCCTCACAGGAAGTGTTACCGTTAGCAACCTGAATGTTCTAGTAGACAAGGTCTTAAATCTGACCAATAGGCTGCAGACGCTTTTTTTAGGACTTGGAAACAATGATCTCTCTCTAATAAAGCAGACGGAACTGAAGGCCTTGACCTTTAGATTAGGGTCAACTTTGGCCAACTCACAAGAGCTGGCTACCCAGATGAAAGCGCAGGATGTGTATACAAACTACCTTTGTGGTTTACAAAAGTATGTTTACTTTTTTTTTAGTTTTCTCAAAACCTTTTATAGAAAAGAGTTGTCTTACTTGAATATGACATTCAATGAAGCTAGCAAGAAAATTAGTTGTTTTAAGATTTTGATATAAAGAAAGGTCAGCTTACAGTTTATAGTCTAGCTCAATATTTGGGACTTAAGCCTCACATTATCTCTATCAGTACTTAATTTGTATATACAAGACATTAATTTATATTTTTCCAAAATCACATTTACCAGAGCAAAGATATTTGTCTTGTAGCATCACCTTATGGTCCTCTTTAAATGTTACATAAACCATGCCCCTAGAATCAAAATTGGCCCCACCCTGGCAGTCACTTAGTATATATAGACTTGTAAGAAAATACATTTAAATCTTGTGGCAAACTTAAATGTGCAGACCTTTGCCTGTAGCTAATTTCTTCTCTATTTCATTTGTTTGACCTTTTCTAGCAATCAATCTCAAGTGAGCGATCTTAGACCACAATGGCCCTCTTGTTTTATTGTGTCGCCTCTACGGAGTAGTGGCGACATATAGGGATCACTTCTCCGTCGTCTGTCTGTCCGTCTGTCTGTCTGTCTGTCTGTCTGTCCGTGCGTCCGTCACAAAACTTGTCCGGACTACTCCTCATAAACTACTGGTGCAATTTCATCCAAACTTTACAGGAATGATCAGTACCAAGTCTAGTTGTGCATATTGTCAGCATTTTCCCGTTCAATGATTTTTGTCAGAGTTATGGCCCTTTAATAATTTTTAATTTTAAAGTTTGTCCGGACTACTTCTCTTATACCACTAATGCAATTTCAATGAAACTTTACAGGATTGATCTGTAGCTCAAGTCCTTGCGCATATTGCACGGGTTTTCCGGTTGAATGATTTTTGGCCGAGTTATGGCCCTTTGATAAAAAGGTTTCTTTTTCTGTGTGTTGCCAGATACACAAAAGCTTGTCCGGACTACTACTCATAAACTACTGGTGCAATTTCATCCAAACTTTACAGGAATGATCAGTACCAAGTCTAGTTGTGGATATTGTCAGCATTTTCCGGTTCAATGATTTTTGTCAGAGTTATGGCCCTTTAATAATTTTTAATTTTAAAGTTTGTCCGGACTACTTCTCTTATACCACTCATGCAATTTCAATGAAACTTTACAGGATTGATCTGTAGCTCAAGTCCTTGCGCATATTGCACGGGTTTTCCGGTTGAATGATTTTTGGCCGAGTTATGGCCCTTTGCTAAAAAGGTGTTTTTTTCTGTGTGTTGCCAGATACACAAAAGCTTGTCCGGACTACTCCTCATAAACTACTGGTGCAATTTTATCCAAACTTTACAGGAATGATCAGTACCAAGTCTAGTTGTGCACTGTCCGTCTGTCTGTCTGTCTGTCACAAAATTTGTCCCAACATGAACTTTGCCTTCATGAGGCGACACATGTGATTACTGATCGCTCTTGTTTATCCTGTCTTTTCTTTCAGGTTTTTAACATATACGGATTCCCATACAGACAGTTGCACATCTTACCTAATCTCGGAATTAGTGAATCTTAAAAGTAACCAGCTATCCAATGTACAGAATGTGCTTCATTCTGCCCTAAAACTTGTACGTCCAGTCACTTGCATGTTAATGAATAAGGTGAGGAAGGCATATGCTGTTATACACGAACCAGCTAAAGTGTCGGATAATCCTATCAAGTTTACTGCAGGGCTTACAGCAGCTGTGTTATTAATTGCTGATATTGAAAATGTGTCCCGGATTGAAAATGTGAGAGTTCAGGTGAGTGGAATATAAAGAATTTTGTTTATTATAATTATGTTGATAGTACATATGTTTTCAATTTGTTAATTTGATAACTGATAATTTTTCTGTACTTTCTAATATAGATAGATTTATCAAACATATATGAGCAACGTCGTGACAAAACAAACGTTATGCGTTTGCGACCAGCATGGATCCAGACCAGCTCGCGCATCCGCGCAGTCTGATCAGGATCCATGCTGTTAGCTATCAGTTTTTCTACCTGTAATAGGGTTTGTAAGCGAACAGCATGGATCCTGATCAGACTGCGCGGCTCCGCAGGCTGGTCTGGATCCATGCTGGTCGCAAACGCATTAAGTTGGTTTTGTCCTGACGCGGCTCATATGTTGTCACCTTAGTGGAGTAACAGTTTAACTCCTTATACAATTTGATAGGAGATAACCCATTTCTGCTCTAAGGTGACAATGTGTCATGTATAGTACATTTCCACTTTAATTATTATTATCTGTTTTCTCCAGTGACTTTCTGTGCTGTTGATATATTAATTTAAAAAGATCTATAGTTTTTCTTTTAAAGGAACTCCACTGTGGTTTTTTTTACATATAGCTCCTTTATATGAGTTTATTGAATGTTTATAAATTAGTACATGTTTGACATTTAAATCTGCTGGATTAAAAGCTGCAATGAGCTCCAAACATGAACGTCGGACTGACCCGCCCAGTACTGGTGCCATCGAAAGATCATTGTTATAGCCTGTAGGAAAATAGTGATAAATACATTTTTAACTGAATTTTAATACAGTTCATTTGTCTCAAATTGCCTGTTCTCATTTTGACTGTAAATTTAGGTAAAGTATCCTGATACAACTGTAGCATTGACCATACCTTCATCACATGATGTCCGTAAGAGAAGTGCCCTCGGTCATAGACTAACAACACATGTTCTTCTCTCACATGGGCACTGGTCAGGTAACATATTTTCATTGTTATAGTTATAATCGTGATTATAAATTGCAGCCAGAAGATAGCTTTGCTGTAGAAAATACATCTTATCCCTTAACATGCTGAATATTTTAAATGGACTTGTCCCACTTCCATTTTTTGGGATTGTCTATTTTCAAATTTAGGGATATAATATCAATTTGAATTTTTTTTAAAGTTTGTCAGCCAACAGTATAGAGCCTGGTCAGGCTGGAAGGATGTGCAGGCTGGCCTGGCTATATTACTGGTGGCAAAGGCTTAATGCTTTTGGTTCCAGCACTTTAAGGGTTAAATTTTGAGTGTGTTTTGCTGTAATAATATTGGAGATGCACAGTATTAAGATCACGAAGGTCGTATACCTGAACATCTTAACAACATACCTTGCAGTCTTATACTTCAGCACATTTATGATAAAAATGTACATGTGTTTCTATTCTAACACATAATAGGGATGAAAGGGAAAGGAAACATTTTTAGACTGTAGGCTACTCTAATATTTTTACAAACAGTTGTCTTTGGTTTTACATAGGAAAGTCTTTGATAGTGTAAGATGATATGTCAGTCGTTTTTATGATTTTTGACATAAGATACGTAGATTCAGTTTTAAATGGAGTTTTACTTTATTTTTATGCCCCCACAATGTGGGAGCATATAGCGTTGCACTTGTCCGTCCGTCCGTCAGTCCGTCCGTACGTCCCGAAATCTTGTGAACGCAACTCCTCTTAAACCGGATGGCAGATTTTGCTTAAACTTACAGGGATGAACAACCTTAATGTGTAGATGGTAGTAAAGGAAGGAATTTTTGCTGCGACCAAATTTAACAGAATTATGGCCCTTTGTTGATTTTTTCACTACATACTATGTAGAAATTTTGTGAACGCAACTCCTCTTAAACCGGATGGCAGATTTTGCTTAAACTTACAGGGATGAACAACCTTAATGTGTAGATGGTAGTAAAGGAAGGAATTTTTGCTGCGACCAAATTTAACAGAATTATGGCCCTTTATTGATTTTTTCACTATATACTATGTAGAAATATTTTGAACGCAACTCCTTTTAAACCGGATGGCAGATTTTGCTTAAACTTACAGGGATGAACAACCTTCAGGTGAAGATGGTAGTAAAAGAAGGAATTTTTGCTGCGACCAAATTCTACAGAATTATGGCCCTTTGTTGATTTTTTCACTATATACTATGTAGAAATTTTGTGAATGCAACTCCTCTTAAACCGGATGGCAGAATTTGCTTAAACTTCCAGGGATGAACAACATTAATGTGTAGATGGTAGTAAAGAAAGGAATTTTTGCTGCAACCAAATTTAACAGAATTATGGCCCTTTTTTTATTTTTGCATTATATACTATGTAGAAATTTTGTGAACGCAACTCGTCTTAAACCGGATGGCAGATTTTGCTTAAACTTCCAGGGATTAACAACCTTAATGTGTAGATGGTGATGGTAGTAAAGGAAGGAATTTTTGCTGTGACCAAATTTTACAGAATTATGGCCCTTTGTTGATTTTTAGTTTTCAACTTGTGGCACATGTAGTCCAAAAAATATTTGACCTAGAGTCATAAGATTGACAGAACAGTGGCGTGTGGGGGCATCCGTGTCCTATGGACACATTTCAAGTTTTACATAGAAGTATACATTTTCTAGTTTTTACATTTGCATCAGAACTTTGTTTTATGTCCCTTTACATGTGGAACTAATGTTGCTTATTTTCATGCTTTAAGGTTCCGTCACATTTTGTATTCGTTCCATTTATGTGAATTGCCATTATGTACACTAAAGAATACTTAAACCATGATTTTTACTTTATTTCAATTAAGTTTCAAATTAAATATTATAAACAAACACAGATGATTCTTGCCTTCAGAAACAAAGTCATGCTTATTTTAGTGAACATCTTTAAAATATATGAAAATGTAAAATATTGTCAAATGAATAAAGAAAATAATTTACACAGTGCAAACAACATTTAAAATCTATGAAAGTCAGAATATGCAAAAATATAATGTACTGTCAAGGTAGCGCAGTAGAAATCTGGTGACAGATAATGCAAAAACAATTATTTATCGCTTATAATATGTAGATTATTTCTTAAATTGTGAATATTTTGACTTCCTTTAAAATCTTAGTACAGTTTTCTCAAGATTGATTTTCTTGAAATATTTCAAGTATGCAGCTTTAATATTTTCTTTCTTTGTATGAACCTAAGAGGAATTAATTGTTCTCCAAATTTTAGAAAGTGGATAAAGGTGTCTGAATATTAGGCAGTATTTTACCTGACGAGCATTTCCTTATTATATAAGTATTTTTATTGACTTTAGTTTTGCATTTTCTTGTTTCAGAATCGTGCACAGTTGAAATAGGTGTAGTGATTCTTTCGTCATCTGCTGCCAAAACAAAGTTCAAGACCAAATCAGCCTCCAGTAGTGAAGAAGACAGTAACGTCATAGAACTCTGTAAACCTGTGAAAGTTCTTATCTCACCTAAACCTCATAAAAGATAAAAGTAGAACAAATGTGAACATTATAGTGAAATAAAACTTGAAAGTTCTTATCTCACCTAAACCTCATAAAAGATAAAAGTAGAACAAATGTGAACATTATAGTAAAATAAAACTTGAAAGTTCTTATCTTGTCTAAACCTCATAAAAGATAAAAGTAGAACAAATGTGAACATTAGTAAAATAAAACTTGAAAGTTCTTATCTCGTCTAAACCTCATAAAAGATAAAAGTAGAACAAATGTGAACATTATAGTAAAATAAAACTTGAAAGTTCTTATCTTGTCTAAACCTCATAAAAGATAAAAGTAGAACAAATGTGAACATTAAAGTAAAATAAAACTTGAAAGTTCTTATCTTGACTAAACCTCATAAAAGATAAAAGTTGAACAAATGAGAACATTATAGTAAAATAAAACTTGAAAGTTCTTATCTCGCCTAAACCTCATAAAAGATAAAAGTAGAACAAATGTGAACATTAGTAAAATAAAACTTGAAAGTTGTTATCTCACCTAAACCTCATAAAAGATAAAAGTAGAACAAATTAGAACATTAGTAAAATAAAACTTGAAAGTTCTTATCTCGCCTAAACCTCATAAAAGATAAAAGTAGAACAAATGTGAACATTAGTAAAATAAAACTTGAAAGTTCTTATCTCACTTAAAACTCATAAAAGATAAAAGTAGAACAAATGTGAACCTTATAGTAAAATAAAATGTGAAAGTTCTTATCTCTCCTAAATCTCATAAAAGATTAAAGTTGAACAAATGTGAACATTATAGTAAAATAAAACTTGAAAGTTGTTATCTCGCCTGAACCTCATAAAAGATAAAAGTAGAACAAATGTGAACATTATAGTAAAATAAAACTTGAAAGTTCTTATCTCACCTAAACCTCATAAAAGATTAAAGTTGAACAAATGTGAACATTATAGTAAAATAAAACTTGAAAGTTCTTATCTTGCCTAAACCTCATAAAAGATAGATGTAAATCAAATGTGAACAATAGTAAAATAAAACTTGAAAGTTCTTATCGCACCTAAACCTCATAAAAGATAAAAGTAGAACAAATGTGAACATTATAGTAAAATAAAATGTGAAAGTTCTTATCTCGCCTAAACCTCATAAAAGATAAAAGTAGAACAAATATGAACATTATAGTAAAATAAAACTTGAAAGTTCTTATCGCACCTAAACCTCATAAAAGATAAAAGTAGAACAAATGTGAACATTATAGTAAAATAAAACTTGAAAGTTCTTATCTCACCTCAACCTCATAAAAGATAAAAGTAGAACAAATGTGAACATTATAGTAAAATAAAATGTGAAAGTTCTTATCTCGCCTAAACCTCATAAAAGATAAAAGTAGAACAAATGTGAACATAATAGTAAAATAAAACTTGAAAGTTGTTATCTCACCTAAACCTCATAAAAGATAAAAGTTGAACATATGTGAACATTATAGTAAATAAAACTTGAAAGTTCTTATCTCACCTAAACCTCATAAAAGATAAAAGTAGAACAAATGTGAACATTATAGTAAAATAAAATGTGAAAGTTCTTATCTCGCCTAAACCTCATAAAAGATAAAGTAAAACAAATGTGAACATTATAGTAAAATAAAATGTGAAAGTTCTTAACTCACCTAAAACTCATAAAAGATAAAAGTAGAACAAATGTGAACATTATAGTAAAATAAAATGTGAAAGTTCTTATCTCGCCTAAACCTCATAAAAGATTAAAGAAGAACAAATGTGAACATTATAGTAAAATAAAACTTGAAAGTTCTTATCTCACCTAAACCTCATAAAAGATAAAAGTAGAACAAATGTGAACATTATAGTAAAATAAAATGTGAAAGTTCTTATCTCGCCTAAACCTCATAAAAGATAAAAGTAGAACAAATGTGAACATTATAGTAAAATAAAACTTGAAAGTTCTTATATCACCTCAACCTCATAAAAGATAAAAGTAGAACAAATGTGAACATTATAGTAAAATAACACTTGAATGTTCTTATCTCACCTAAACCTCATAAAAGATAAAAGTAGAACAAATGTGAACATTATAGTAAAATAAAATGTGAAAGTTCTTATCTCGCCTTAACCTCATAAAAGATAATAGTAAAACAAATGTGAACATTATAGTAAAATAAAATGTGAAAGTTCCTATCTCACCTAAAACTCATAAAAGATAAAAGTTGAACAAATGTGAACATTATAGTAAAATAAAACTTGAAAGTTCTTATCTCACCTAAACCTCTTAAAAGATAAAAGTAGAACAAATGTGAACATTATAGTAAAATAAAACTTAAAAGTTCTTATCTCACCTAAAACTCATAAAAGGTAAAAGTAGAACAAATATGAACATGATGAACATTATAGTAAAATAAAATGTGAAAGTTCTTATCTCGCCTAAACCTCATAAAAGATAAAAGTAGAACAAATGTGAACATTATAGTAAAATAAAACTTGAAAGTTCTTATCTCACCTGAACCTCATAAAAGATAAAAGTAGAACAAATGTGAACATTATAGTAAAATAAAACTTAAAAGTTCTTATCTCACCTAAACCTCATAAAAGATAAAAGTAGAACAAATGTGAACATTATAGTAAAATAAAACTTGAAAGTTCTTATCTCACCTAAACCTCATAAAAGATAAAAGTAGAACAAATGTGAACATTATAGTAAAATAAAACTTGAAAGTTCTTATCTCGCCTAAAACTCATAAAAGATAAAAGTAGAACAAATGTGAACCTTAGTAAAATAAAACTTGAAAATTCTTATCTCACCTAAACCTCATAAAAGATAAAAGTAGAACAAATGTGAACATTATAGTAAAATAAAACGTGAAAGTTCTTATCTCGCCTAAAACTCATAAAGATAAAAGTAGAACAAATGTGAACATTATAGTAAAATAAAACGTGAAAGTTCTTATCTCACCTAAACCTCATAAAAGATAAAAGTAGTACAAATGTGAACATTATAGTAAAATAAAACGTGAAAGTTCTTATCTCGCCTAAAACTTATAAATGATAAAAGTACATTGTAGAACAAATGTGAACATTAGTAAAATAAAACTTGAAAGTTCTTATCTCACCTAAATGAAATAAAAGATAAAAGAAGAACAAATGTGATAAATAATAAGTTATAAATATGAAATGTAAGTTGGTATATGGGAAATCAGAAAAAAAAAGAGATCAGAAAAATAATAAAAAAACTCATAAAAGATAAAAGTAGAACAAATGTGAACATTATAGTAAAATAAAACTGGAAAGTTCTTATCTCACCTAAACCTCATAAAAGATAAAAGTAGAACAAATGTGAACATAATAGTAAAATGCTGGTTGGTATATGGGAAATCAGAAAAAAAAAGAGATCAGAAAAAATAATGTGAAAAGATAGGAGAGTTTCCCAGTTGAAAGAAGAAAGATTTGAAAATAAAACACTTTCTGTAAATGTAAGAGCTACATGCATAAAAATAACTGAAAATGTGAACAAATAGACAAAGAGGAATATCACAGTGCTATACTTAACACATTTCTTTTTAAAGAAATAGAGAGCTGAAGCTTATCACAAATAAAGCATGCTAGTGTCTGATATTACAAAATTTATCAGGCATGGCTTAGAAAAATTCAAAAAGTTCTATTTGTATCGAAAGTTCATTAGTTAAATAAGTATTTTAAAACTAGTAAAAGGTAAAATATTCCATACTCTTCATTTTATTTCAATATGTGAGCCGCGTCATGACAAAAACCAACATAGTGCGTTTGCGACCAGCATGGATCCAGACCAGCCTGCGCATCCGCGCAGTCTGATCAGGATCCATGCTGTTCGTAATCAGTTTCTCTACTTGCAATAGGGTTGGTACGCGAACAGCATGGATCCTGATCAGATGCGCAGGCTGGTCTGGATCCATGCTGGTCGCAAACCCATTATGTTCGTTTTGTCATGACACGACTCATATATTGATGAGGTGTCAGTCTGATAAAGCTGAGGGTAACTGATAAAGACACATGAATCAATGTTATGACATGATAAACGTGAAAGTAATGCAGGGCCTTCAAAATGTGAATAAAGAGATGGAGTGTGAAAATATCAACGGAAAATCTGCTCGTGTAACTAATTCATATAAAACTTTAGGCAATGTGTGAATCAAATATGGTCTCTTTGTAAACTTTGAAAGTCATTTCATGTATTGAACATGAAAAGATGTAATTGTTTCTCTCTATGAAATACATGTTATATAGAAATACTTAATAAATATTGTATTGTTAACTTAAACTTGTCAGTTCCCCGTCAAGAAGAAAATAAATGAAAATTACTGCAATATTTTCCATTATATTACTCTGTTAAACAAATATTAGTGTGATGAATAAAATAGTAGATATTTTCAGTTTTGTATTCATGGAGTCGAGAAATACCTTTGTTACTTTGACTTTGAGAAATTACTTTAGAATAAAAGATGCTGACATTAAGCCCTAACAGGTTTTCATGGCAAATATCTGATTAATAAATATATTCAAAATATGTAACCTGTATTCTTTTTTCTTCCAGGTTTGACTCTCCCTATTCTGTCAAGTCAGAGACATAGATAACAGAGATAGGCAACTTCCTGACCAGTTAAAATATCATGCGTTCCTGCTAAACTTAAAACTTGTAGCAAGTAAAACTTATTAACCAGATATCAAAATCAGGAAAATAATACATTTTCTGAAAGCTTATGCATTTGTCTATGGCTGCAGGTAAAACTATTTTAAGTTCTTATTTAAATAAATGATACATCGATTTTTAAAGAGAACTACTTATTAATTTTTGTTACAAAACTATTCATGTGATGAAAAAACTGGCTTAGTGGGTATGTTCTGCTACATTGTATGTTTTTCTAAGTGAAAGGCATGGAAAGTTACCAATATTTTAACATGCAGCTATAGATAAAAGATTTACCTTTCAAATGGTATATAATATTTAAGGATCATATGTACCATAAAGTTTTATTTGCTACAAAATGCCTAATTTTTCATTTTTTATGGGCATGAGTGATATTTCAATGGAGTATATAGGAGCTGCTTATCTCTGTTATCTATGTCTCTGGTCAAGTTGTTTTATGTC